CAGATCCGACGAGGTTCTTGAAGTCGTTCCTGCTGCCGACAACCTGTCCACCACAAAGTGCGTTTTTTCGAAGTCCTCGGCCGATGGTCCTTCTGGCATGCTTGCTATCTGCCCGTTTTCCACGAAAGCGATGGCACCCGACACCGTGGCCCCACCAGACTCCATGACGACCACCTTGCCGCCCGCCTCGGAGTCTGGCACAGGTGACCTTTCGCCTGTTATTGACTTCCCGACCTCGAAGCTTTCGCCTTCAACAACGTCCGATAAACGAGACTTAACCTCTCGTCTGGCCACTAGCGACGCGTGTCCTGCGCCCGACTGCCCATCCGCTAAGGTTCTCGACACTTGGGCTGAATGCAACCAGTCAGCCACGAGGTTTGTGTTTTCATCGTCCTCGGCCGACGACGCTGCAGGCATGCTTACCACCGGCTCGTCTCGGCCGACCTCCATGGCTCACAACACGGCTGACACGTCAGGTTCTACGACGGCAACATCACAAAACGCCCTGGTGGCTACCACGACTATGGGCATTGTCACGCCCTCTATTCACCTCTTGGTTGCGGAACCTTCACCCTCCCCGATGTCCGAAGGCGACTGTCGGCCAGCCTCAATGCTCTGCACGTCCTGCCAGCAACGACCACCATCGTCCTCGCAGTTTCCCGCAGCTGAAGTTAAAGCCATCAGCCATCAACCACGGCCAAGCTTTCAAGACGCTGCTACTATGACTGACGCGCTTGAGGACGACGTGCCCGGTCCGATTCAGACAGGACTCACCAGGCATACCACGCCTGTGGTGGAGCAATCTAGGGGGTGTTGGCTAGAGGCAGCCATCAATTATGCAGACCTGCACGCCAACCCTCGTGTGCAGACTACCGGAGGTCATTACACGAACACAGGTGTCCCGTCCAATACTCCGGGCGAGCCCATGCAGACTGGGTTCCACCACCACCATTCCCCGGAGCCTTTGCCTCCGGACGGCAACAACCAGACGTGTGTCCACAATGCCAGCTCATGTGTCACAACCGCGACGACGCTCATACCTCATACGTGTCTACCACCCATTACCCTACGCCGGCAACGACAACGTGCTTGGCGTCACACATTGCGGCAACTTTTGAGCCGCCCTGCTACGCAGCCACGAGTTGCAGTCACAGCCCTGAAGACGGCGCAAGCGCCTACTCGGCCTATTTGACGCAATGTCCCATCACTAGTCGTGTACCCGACTACCCACCGTACACTTGGCGGCATTGTTAGGGCCCGTTCCTGCGGGCGTCGGCACGTCTATCTATACCGGCACGTCAGACGCCGCTCGACTTTGAGGTCTGTGTTGCGTCGACCCCAACAACAAAACCCGCACTGCCGACCCTCTGCCGACGTTAGCAGCATGACCTCGCGACACACGGTCCACTCTCGGCCTGTCCGACCACGTCATCGTGAGACCCGCTTGTCGGCGACCACAGCAACCCGGCACTTCCTTCTTCTTCCCTTGCGCTTCTCCCAGAGTCGCCCACCGGAGACACACTGCTTACCGATGGCCCATAAACGTTGACAACCTGGACTTGCTAAATGAACACTTTATGGAATGTCGTTCATGTATATAGTATTTGTCGCTCTCTTTCTTTTTTCATATGCCTTCAAATGGCGCAAAGCGCTAGGGGGGAGCCCTGTAGTGCCATCATCACCATCATCATTTCTCAATCACCGCGCCGCGCCTCTCGCGCAGCTGATGCTAGCTCGAGCTGCGCGAGGATTAAAACAAGATAGCGCACTTGGTGTGTCAGACGTGGAAAGCCACGCGGCTCCGCTTCAGGCGTGGAATAAAGTGGCGAGAGAACGACACGACCACGTTGGCCGCCGTCCCGTCTTCCTCTCTCGCTACAGGTCAAATCCGCCGATTTCAGCGGAGCAGGAATTCTTGCTCCACGGAGCAACCTGTCATCTGCGGTTGCTTTCAATCTGCCATTGGAACACACAATTCTTGCTCCCGATCCGCCATTAGAATGTGATTGCTCCACTCAGAGCAGAAAAATTTGATTTGGATCTGCCACTGGAATTCAACATCAGGGTCACGAGGGTGCAATTCAAGTGATCTCCATCGTGGGTGCGCCGAATTATGAAGCGGAAGGGCTTTGCGCTGAGGCGGCGTACTTCTGTCTTTCTGCAAATGCTGCATCAATAACACACTGAATGGAATGGAGGATGATGCACTCTGGGACGTTACTAGTGAAAAACAGACGTCGTTGCACTCAAGTTCGGACGAATCTGAGTGACAGCACTTTGTGGCCTTCTGGCGTTTAACTACATAAGATTAGTGTCAGAAAAAAAAAATGACACCACAGTGCGTATCTACAGCTACAGTAAAATCTCGGTATAATAAACTTCAAGGGACCGTGGCAATTTGTTCATTATTTTGAAAGGTCGTTATAGTGAAAGCCCAAAAATTGACTATAAATGCTTATTTTCCGCTGGCCAAAACGACTTACCTTTACAACGGTGGAACTTGAACTTGTTTTTCACGATAAAAACACATGCGCAAATGAACACCAAAAAATTCACGTTTTTTTTTTTTTTTTTTTTTGACACGTGCAGCACAAACTTTGCAGGGCGAAGATTTCCAGCTCATTCACATTTTCCACTTTCTCCTTCGCGAAAACTGCTTCCCGCTTCCTTGTCGCAAGCAGAGATAACTCAGTGTAATAGCATCGCAGCGCAAATGCCGGCTTCCTTTGTGGACACAATAAGTATTTACCGAAAAGATGAACACGACTCACAAGGCCTCCTCAGAGAACACCTATAGACGTCAGACTCTGGAGATTTACGGACATGCAGCGCCACCTCTCGACGCAGTTTTGAGTAGTGGAAAGCCCGACTTTCGTGCACGTTTTGCTACGCAACCGGATGCAACTACAGAGTACGAAACAAAGATTCACTTTCCAGAACGACGGCGAGAACAAGAGCATATGCAACAGCTCCACGCTCTACAAAACCTACCCTAGTCAACGCTACTGTTGTGTTGTGATTTGCCACGAACGTAAAGGACTTCAGTTTTGCTGACTTCTGCAGCTTTTACAAAGCAGAACGGTGAGAACGCTGAATAAGGGCCATTGCAAACGTGTTAGGTAAGCGAATTACTCGCATTCTCAACAGCCAGCCGCATGAGAAAGTGTGATGATGAAAGTGATATGATTGTTACCACGGATCGTTCCCATGGTCATTACCACGACCGTGGTAACGATTATAGCCCGATCATTACCACGAAGAACCATGGTAACGTTGATTATGAAGCTTAACAGAGCCTCTGACCGCGGTGCACGCAGTGCAATAGTAAACAGGTGACGCGCCTGATAAAAATCGCACAAGCTGCACCCACCGATAATCTGAAATAGTCGCAACTGCACAGCATTACGCATGCAGGGCTTTGAAGGCTCTAAGTTCCCGCTTTAACTAGGAAATGTGAACACGTACGTCACGCAGGTAAATCGCAAAATAATCGCGACCACAATCAGGCTTTTTTTTTTCTTTTGCCGTTTGTCTCCGCATTTGCAGGAGCTCTCTCAAAGGCCTCGGTTATGCCTTTCGTTATTCACTGAGAAAGCGGACACGCATTTATGCCCATTTGCAGTATATAGAAACGAAAGACAACCGTCAACTCAACACACTAGCAACAGTTCAACAACCAGAGATCGATAGAGAATGCACCTGCAAAGACGAAAATCGTCAGGGCCATTCGTACCGGATAAAGCGAGCTTCGTACCAGTGATCTAAAGATAGATTGCTCGTGTATGTACTTGGTCAATTTAACGTCACGTGTATGCCCAAGTTTAACGCATTTAGGCGCTGAAGAACGCACTTCGAAGTGCTCGCCTCGAACTCGATGTCATGCGATGCTTGCTTGCGCTTGAATTGCAGCACACCGAAATAACTGAAACACCTTTTGCGTTGTACCCACAGTTCGCTTTCATGAGCTTCCTACCTTTGTGAAGTGAGGTTGCATTGACTGAAGAAGCTTTCCAGGTCCTTGATTTTCAAGAAACCACGCCTCAAGACTGACGAAAAAATGGGCCTATGCACATTCGCTTGCGGACAGCTCTTTTCTCACTACCCATTAATGGCCGCGTGTCGATGGGGGCGCTGGTGGCAGCGTTTTTCGCCTGGAGAGAGTCTGACGTCCATAACCCTTTGGCCTCCTAGACACAGAACATCTACCAGTTTCTCCCGTTAGAAAATAATTAAATGATTACTGTTGTGATAAAAAACTACGCTTTACTTGCTTGTTTCCCCAGCGTGCAGCCAAGAGTGACCACTGTCGAAAGTGGGGGGGGGGGGCTCAGCCCTTTAACCTTCCTCAGTGGGGAGGCTAGCGGCCCCCTTGCCCCCGGCTGGTGCGCCTATGCTTCTGGACTACTTGACTGATTTTGTTTGGACTACTTGACTGAATGATTGCATTACCTGAATGCACCCTTACCTATGTTACGTCTATTAGGTATTTCATTTTCATCAAGTTTCATTTATCCAGTGTCTAATATACTTGACGTCCATTCTTTTATACTGAATCGTGCTGCATGTTTTGAATCGTTAATTTAGTGCGACAAGGGTGTTAGCTAATTCTAACAAAGCCTTTGAATTGAGAATTCAATGCAACAAAGGTGCTAGGCAATCTATATCTGGGGTTTTACGTCCCAAAACCACGATACGATTATGAGAGACGTTGTAGAAGAGGGCTCCGGAAATTTAGACCATCTAGTGTTCTTTAACGTGCACTAACATCACACAGTACACGGGCCTCTACCATGCCGCCTCCAGCAAAATGCAACTGCCGCGGCCAAGATCGAAACTATGACCTTCAGGTCAGCAGTCGAGCACCTTAGCTACTGATCCACCGCGAAAAATTGCTAGTCAACTTCAACAACACAGCAGGGATACTTTGTTTTTGTGCATACAGGATCCTCAATGATTCAAATTACAAACAGTATGAGCTAACATAACGAGGAAACACTTACAGCAGGTCGACGTCCATCTTTAAGAAGAGTTTTTCTACGTAGAAAACCTTCGCAGCTAGCTGGTTGGGTGACCATCTCTTCTTCCCATCTGAAAATAGAAAATGCTAATGAGGAAGCCTGCTACCCAGCATGACTAAAAGACATTTATTGGCACTCAATACAAGGTTGGTTATACAGCAATGTTATTGTATTTAACTACAAAGTGGGTAACAATTTTCTTGCCACTGCATTCCTTTGCAGCACCTACCCTACCTTATCCAACACTACTCCAAGCAAACACAACCTGGGATGCCTGACCACAAAGAATACATAAATGACTTGATAGTGCCTTTTTTTCTCTCTCTCCATAATTTTCTTTTTACATACGATTATAGAGTTCCTATGGAGGCTCACATCGAAGCAATTGGCTTTCGACAGCCAATAGGCGACACCATAAAAGTCAGATGTAAACATGAAAATGACTGAGATTTCAAGCTTTGTTTTTTAACAGCAATAAAACAATCAAGATATGTGCATGCCATCACCATCATCAACACTCCCGTGCTATTCAAGGTGTGTACTGCTGTCCCTTGTCGACCATGTGCGACTAAAGCTGGGCTCGCAGGCACATGTGCTGTGTGGGGTGCCATAGGACCTAGGACCTTACGACGCATCTCATACGAGACATAACGGCAACAGTAAAAATTTGCCAGGAATATTCATATAATTCTTGCCGAAATAAAACAACAATGAAAAAACTGGCTTTACTGAACAAGTGCCACCAGTTGATTTTTGAAGCATTTGTGTAATAAATTGTAAATGTTTTCAGTTTCATCACATGATCTGAACTGAAATTCAAGCAGACATTATTGCACATGACCAAAATGCTTCAGAAATGTCAATCAACAAGTTTTACCAGCCACTATGGCAGTAAAATGCAGCATTATTTCGAGCTGATGGCGTTAAATGCAGAAAGCATTGGCTACTTTGACACAACTCATGATCCACAATCTTCTCACATTTGTTATCTTAAAGTAGTCCAACAACACTTGTATAAGTATTCATCAAATGGCTTCCTTTAAAAGAGTTTATTGCCCCACAAATCTACTGCCACAAAAAAAAATTTAGAATATGTCAAGTCACGGTGGATCAACAGTTATTTGTAGCATGCTTAAAGTGCTTTCCCTTTCTTTTTGAATGAGTTAGCGATCCGAAAGCTACACAGGGGTGGGGTGGAGGCGGAGAAAAGGAGGGCACGATGTGTCTATGCGTGAGCATGCGCCATGACTTTGAGCACTTTTTCTTTTACTGTGAAAGCAATTATATGAACACTCTTGTAAATCTTTCTGTCATCGTTGTCATGTCTTGGATATGTATATGTACGTATATACATAAAAAATGCACAAAAAAAAGAAGTCTGAAGAAAGAAGATCTCGACGCACCCGACCGCGGATTCGAACCAGCGACACCTTGTTTCGCAATGCACTGTGTTTGACAGCTCGACCATGTGCCATGCATGTTTCAGTGTGATAACCGTGAGCTATTTACACTATTTACCGCTGGTGACACGGAATTCTCGAAGGAGCTTGGGCGTGTTGCTATCACACAATGCTCCTATATCTTGTTTTAATTGAAAAACTGCCCTTGAGACATGCACGAAAAAGTGGCCCTTTTCTACGCCCACTCGCAATGTAGAATGAGAGAGAAAAAAAAAAAAAAACGCTGGGAACACCCTGTGTCAGATGCCACCATGTGGCAGGAGACACAGAAGGGTCACTCCGTGCGCTGCAGTTAAAAAAAAAAGAAATATCCAAGAGCGCCGAGTTCTGCATATTCGACACTTGCATATCGAGCATCCCTCTTTGTTCTTCAGCAGTGTGCTACGAGTATAGAGCCACTTGTCGTTCTTCATGGGACGTTACCATTTCTTGCTATCATATTCGTTTTCCCTTGTAGCAAAACTGCCTTTTCTTTTAATGTGCAGCTTCTTTTCAGAGTGATTGCACGCATGTGCGCGAGCACGTGGTGGCATCCCACTATGGCCACAGTAGCTACGCAGCACACAGTTTCTAATAAGCAGAAGGCCACGGACGACTAAGATTTATAATGCCACCCTACCAGTTCATGGCATGATTTCTCTCATCTCAGCAGCCTTTTCTGGCTCGATCAGCAGCGCTTTCTGAATGCGCCGAAAAAGTGTTGAAGGGCCCTTCTAAAGAGAGTTTAAAGGCAAATGTCAAGTTCACGGGGAGTTTTGAAATGGCATTCCAAAAACGTCATAACACTACTTTCATAACGAAAGGAAGAAACAAGTAATTAAGAGTTGACATCAAGAAAGAACAACAGACGATACACTACTAACAACAATTTTTATTGCGGCAAGGCAGTAAATATAAAAGCATGCCTCCTGGCACATACACACATTCTACCGTCACCAAAAACAACATCAAAAGAACATCAAAAGAACAACATGAATGTTTTTAAAAACAGATGAACAATACACTTCACTATAGTGAACTCATGATTAACACATCCACTAAGTACACGCAAACCTAAAATGTATCTAAGAAATTGATTTTTGTGTTGCTCAGGGATAACAAGGCTGTGCTGACACATGCGTTGCCTTTACTGATAATTGCGTGAGCTTCAACAACGAGCTGCCCGAACTCTTGCTGATAACTGGCAAGCACCTTGATTGAAGAAAAGTCTGGAGTACATCTGCATTTTGCACAATGTAGAGCCATGCTGCTTTCCTGTTTCTGGTTCAAATTATTTGCGAGAGCTGTATCTGCAATAGATTTTTCTTTTCATTATGCAGTACCAATAGGCATAATGTCATTCACTTTTACACTTTTCTTTCATGCCAACTAAGTGCTGAGGTTGCAAAAAAAAAAAATCATGCTTAGTATAGTATACTTCCTTTTACTCCAACGTACTTTGTTTTGGTGGACCGCATTCTGTTAGCGCACTTCAAACCACCTGCCTTAGAACAGACTCGTGACGTAACATTCCTAAACCAAACCTTTAGCCGGCACTGCGCAGGCACTTTCCGTTCTCTGGTAACTTTGTCCCCGCATCGAAAACGTATGCAAGCATGCTTCCTGTTATGCTTATTCTCATACACTTTACTGGCTGCTGCTCCTTGCCCTTGCCCTGTATTTCAATGTTTGCAAGGGATTGAATAAATCTAATGATGCACTTCATACTAAGTCATTGCTCTGTAGCGTGTGTCTGTCCATCAGTGTGTCTGTGAGCATGACTGCCCCACGTGTGTCTCTTTTGTGCTGACGCTATTCAGCGAGCTACGGTACTGTTTAAGTTGCTGGTGCGACGCGCTGCCAAAATGCAACACAATCAACTCATGTATACCATTAAATCTGTGTGAGCTGCATTCACTAGTGTGATCCATGTTGAACCAATGCCCATCCCTCTGAAGAGTCTAATGAAAAGCATCTGATGACTCAGTTGGCTTCAAGACACTTATTGGGATGGGTCATGAAAGCAGTCACGAGACCCGTAAGTAGCCCTTCCTATTGAATACAGTTTTATTTTTCCCGTCCTTAAAAACATTTTTTTTATTTTGTTTTTGTTCTTGTCCATCTGTTTCTTTTACACTGGCATACAGTATTCAGACAAGACCTATCAAACAGCGCTGCAGAAAAGCAGGGCAGGTCACGTTACGCGACTTGCTTTGTTACGGTTGGTTTTGTAGTCCTTTACACAAAAAAGCAGCAAGAACACAAGTGGGTTTTTCTTGTTGCTCAGTGCACAGTCGCAGAAGTACACAAATTCAAGCAATTTGAACGTAGGAGTTTGCTCTATGGCGCCCATTGGAAAGTCACGTTGATTTCGTTGCTGCAACCTCTCTTGATCAAGTGGCATACATACACAGTTTGATACGAAGACATCACTCGGATATGGCATTTTCTTTAAATTGTAATTAGAGGAAGTGCTACAAAGCATTAAAGGTCATGCAGCAATTAGCGATAACAAAACTACTCTTGAAAGGCACCCCATGAGAAATTGCTAGTAGTAATGTTATTCTTTGCATGAGCACTTTTGTGTGTTTCCATTTAGTCAGCATCTGATTTTCTGGACTCCATAGAGACTACAAAAGAAAAGTGCAGCAGTTCAAAGAGCAACGCATGCAAAAAATGTACGATTTTATAGGTATTGGAGATGGCCAAAGAAAGAGTAGAAGGTCTCTACCACTCTGCCAAAATATTGGCGAGGTCAGTGAAGGGACGCAAAAGGCAAATATGTCGGGTGTCGGGCAAACATGTTGGGCATGTCGAAACTGTCATTGTTGTGTACCGTCAAAAGCAATGTCCGAAGCTTTTTCTGTGAATCGAACAAAAAAGCATAAGCAGGATTTTATACTGTCCTCTGACTCATTACAGTAATATTTTATTAAGGGTAGTTTAAATACTTGTGGTTATATATATAATAAGGACCTATGACGTCATATTGAGCTAGTACTAGATGTCTCACTGGTGGTGCAAATGGTGTTCTACATTTACCCCTGTTTCTTGGCTACTAAAATGCTGCTGTACACACTGATGCTGTACAGTGACAGCTTAGACATCCTCAAGCATTAACCTTTCCCTCTAACATAATTTAGTATTTGCTTTTCGTGTCCCTTTAGTGAGCGCAACAATTTTTTGGCAGACCTGCAGAAATCTTCTACTCCCTCTGTGGCCATCTCAAATACTTATAAAATGGTGCTTTTGTTTGCATGCACGGTTTCTTGAACTGCTCAATTTTTCTGATGTTTTTGTACCCCTAGGAAGTCCAGAAAATCAGATGCTGGCTGGCTGAATGGAAACACACAAATGTGCTCAAACACAGAATAATATTGTTACGGGGTTAGAGACTTCTGTACAAAATGCGTTTACAGAGGAAAACCCACAGGCAAAAGTCACAATGGCTGATTGCCACACTCGCGTGCCTATCAGCTGCTTGAGTTCTTCCTCTTCCTTTACTTCATCTCCGTGACAGGACCCCCAGGCGTTGGGAGCGCCGTCTTGGCGTGAGTCCGGAGAAGCACGAGAGAAGTAAGGTTTCATGCGCGAAACATGGACAATGTCAACAAGTGACGAACTTGATGTA